ATGTCATGTGTACATACGGAGGAAACTGGATTTGTTGTACCTTTCATTCTCTTTTCTATGTTTTTTTTTTTTCTTGTGTTTCTCACCAATCACTTTCACTTTATTTCTATTTCCTTTTCATTTTCAATTCTAACATTTTTCACACTATTGTCTTTTTTCATTCCCTCTCCTTTTATTTTCACTCTCTCCCCTTGCCTTCTTTTTTTCACTCTCTCTCCTTGCCTTCTTTTTTTCACTCTCTCTCTCTCCTTGCCTTCTTTTTTTCACTCTCTCTCTCTCCTTGCCTTCTTTTTTCACTCTCTCTCTCTCCTTGCCTTCTTTTTATTTCTGTCTCTCTCTCCCTTCTTTTTCTCTCTCTCTCTCTCCTTGCCTTCTTTTTTCTCTCTCTCTCCTTGCCTTCTTTTTTCCTCTCTCTCTCCTTGCCTTCTTTTCTCCTCTCTCTCTCTCTTTTGCCTTCTCTTTTTGCCTTCTCTCTCCTTGCCTCTTTTTTTCTCTCTCTCTCCTTGCCTTCTTTTTTCACTCTCTCTCTCCTTGCCTTCTTTTTTCACTCTCTCTCTCCTTGCCTTCTTTTTTCACTCTCTCTCTCCTTGCCTTCTTTTTTTTCTCTCTCTCCTTGCCTTCTTTTTTCCTCTCTCCTTGCCTTCTTTTTTCTCTCTCTCCTTCTTTTTGCCTTCTTTTTTCTCTCTCTCTCCTTGCCTTCTTTTTTCTCTCTCTCTCCTTGCCTTCTTCTTTTCTCTCTCTCTCTCCTTGCCTTCTTTTTTTCCTCTCTCTGCCTCTTTTTCACTCTCCTTGCCTTCTTTTTCCTCTCTCCTTGTCTTCTTTTTCTCTCTCCTTGTCTTCTTTTTTCCTCTCTCCTTGCCTTCTTTTTTCACTCTTTCCTTGCCTTTTTCTCTCTCTCTCTCTCTCCTTGCCTTCTTTTTTTCTCTCTCTCTCTCCTTGCCTTCTTTTTTCTCTCTCTCTCTCCTTGCCTTCTTTTCTCTCTCTCTCTCTCTCCTTGCCTTCTTTTTTCACTCTCTCTCTCTCTCTCCCTTGCCTTCTTTTCCTTCTCTCTCTCTCTCTCTCTCCTTGCCTTCTTTCACTCTCTCTCTCTCCTTGCCTTCTTTCTCTCTCTCTCTTCCTTTTTTTTCTCTCTCTCTCTCCTTGCCTTCTTTTTTTCTCTCTCTCTCTCTCCTTGCCTTTTTTTCTCTCTCTCTCTCTCTCTCTCTCCTTGCCTTCTTTTTTCACTCTCTCTCCTTGACTTCTTTTTTCACTCTCTCTCTCTCTTTCCTTGCCCTCTCTCTCTCTATCTATCTATCCTTGCCTTCTTTTTTCACTCTCTCTCTCTCTTTCCTTGCCTTCCTCTCTCTCTTTCTCTTGCCTTCTTTTTCTCTCTCTTTCCTTGCCTTCTTTTTTCACTCTCTCTCTTTCCTTGCCTTCTTTTTTTCACTCTCTCTCTTTCCTTGCCTTCTTTTTTCACTCTCTCTCTATTTGCCTTCTTTTTTCACTTACTGCTCTTTTTCTTATTCCCCCTCACACCCTCGTCCTCTTCCTACACTCTTGCTTCTTTCTTTTTTCCCCTCCATTATTATTTTTCTCTTTTACTACAAACTTTTTCCCCCATCCTATTTAGCTAGTATTATTATTTGTATTTCTCTTTAACATTCACTCTTTACTTTCTTCTTTTTGTCCAAGTGAAAACTTCTATAAACGGGTACTGAAAAGTTCTCTCCAAGAATTATAATGTTTGGTCACTTGATCAGATTTTAGGAACTCGATCTCCTAACAACTGAGAACTTTTCAGTATCCCTCTCACTCACTCACTCTGCTAACACTAACTGTTGTCTACTTGACGGCTGCCTGAAAGAAGGAACTCTTCAGATCAACTTTCTTGTTGGTCAAGGGTCGGGGTGGAGGGAATAGATTCCTCATGCCATTTCAGGTAAATCAATCTACCCCTAAAGAAAGGATTTTAGCTTACACTGGTCATGACTTAGAGAATTAATGCCCTGTTACTCACTTTAGAAAAAACAAAAAAGACTTCCACCCTTGATAATAAAATAAAAAAAAATAAATAAAAATGGTAACACATATGTGACCACCTGCATGGCATTATCAGAAAAAATAAAGAGAAAAAGAAAAGGGTGGAGCCCAGGTTCCAGATGAAGAGAATGACAGTCTGAAAAAAAAAAAGAAAAAGTTTTCCCTGCCACTCCCAATTTTGGTTTTATTTTAGAATGGCTAAAGAAGGCCAAATTGTATTCTAGCCCATTCATTTTCATAAGGATTTATTTGTGTGCCATTGGTGGCAGGGAGAGGGGTGTAGATTCTTCCTCTAATTGTAACAGCAGCAGCAGTAGCTGGATGATGTAGGAGTAGCCGTGTGTTTCTTCACAGCCTAACTGGCTAGCCACCTTTTTAAGAAGCTTCTTATTTATACTAAAAACAGACTGGCACCATGAAATATTTACTATTGGCCAAACTTACTATGATGGGTTGGAGTATTTCAGAATCTTGGATTTCATTTTACAAAATCTGAACATTTTCTTCCTCATTTACCAATTGATAATGTTGGAAAGGTTGTGTATGAATCCTTTGATTTATTGTTTTATTCTACTGTATCTGCCTCATTGAACTAAAAGACAGATAATGATTCTTTAAAGTGACTTTTTCCCTCATAATCAAAGGATAAGACCATTATTTATTCTTTTAATGTCTTCTATTAGTTGTAAGGCAAACTTGTTGAAATTATATCATTTGAAAAGTTCAGCAACTTACAGTATATATTATATTTGGTTTTTATTCCATTTTCTTTTAAATACCATGACCCTCTCAAGAAGACATAGGTAATCATGGTTCTCCACAAATTCATTGACTTTATGAATTGCCATAATTTCATAGATATTTTCTATAAAAGATATTAGTACATTAGATTTAAACTAAATGCCATCACATTTACATCTAATCTTTTTTCCTTGCATGAGGACCTTATTTACAATTTAGTAATTTATATTATGTATTAAAGCATATATATATATATATGTTATGTATTTAGGCAGCAATTCCTCTTTATTAGATGTTTTCTTAAACAGGACTTGCAAAGTACTTTTATTAAGTATTTATTATATTTTTCTTGCATTTGAATCAACAAACATTTGGATATTTTCTACACGCATTAAGCCCAGGAAAAGAAACACTTGTTCACATACAAGAAAAATAGAATAAAAAACTTAACAAAAGTACCTTGCCAGTCTTGTTTAACAATGCACGCATGTACACACACACTGCAAACACATGGAACTTGTAGTCATAGTAGGTTGAGGAATGTTTCTCCTTTAAAACTTTATTATTATTATTATATAAACCTCAAATTTTCTAATAGCTATTAATACAAGCCACTCAGAAGGTGCTGGGTTGCATAACTGATTATCAGTTTGGAAAACGATATCAGCAAACGGGATTCAAATTTTGACTGAAGTTTGTGTTGACGTAGCACTTTTACCCTTGTGAAAATACAAATTCACTCCTGCCTGTCACCTCATCAAACATCTTGATCAAAATATTCTGTCACTAGCATGCCATTCTCCCATAATTACTAAATTACTCAGGTATTAGTAACTGTGATAAACTGTTACACTCATTGTCATCCTTGACAAAGTGGGAGTTTTTAAGCTTTTGGCATCAGCTGACAATTTTTTTTCATCTGTAGGGTACATTTTCAGTATAATCTTAGCATGAAAAAGTTTATTAGAGAAATTTCTAGAATGCTTTTAAAATATCTTCTTTTTAAAGAAAGACCATAAAAATGAATATTTGGAATGTGTTCTCATAATCATCCTCTTGTTTTAACCCATGAAGCTGTAAGCAAAAATAATCTGTGCAACATGACCCATAAAGATATTGATATGCTGAAAATTCTTATTTATATTCATTCTCTTTGTCACTGCTTAGTAGTACCGTGTGACCTTTGGTTGAATTTAATTGACTTTGAATTTTTATTTTTGTATTTACATTCAAATAATTATTTGGAAATGTTTCCTAATTTTATCTCATGTTCAACACCATCTGTTTAAATATGGGTGACAGGGTTGTGGGGTCTGCCTGCTTAAAAAAGAAAAAATATCAACATTTGGATTTCTGACTTTTACCTGATTTTGAACACTTACCACTGGCAGATACATAAACCATCAAACAAAATTTCATCTACTTTCCTTAAACAAAATAATTCTATCAATTATCAACACACACAGCTGCATGATATAGAAATTATACATACACACACACACACACACACACACACACACACACATGAATTGGGATAAAATATGGATTAGAATCTGACAGAATGATAGGTTAAACAAATAGGGTCACATAGGGAAACGTTTATAAATTTAAGGTGTTTTACTTTTATTTAAGTTCTGGTACTTTTAGCTATGGGTTCTAAACACAGAACTAAAAGTACCATCTGGAACATTCTCTTTCTTAATTCATTTTCCCCTAAAATTCTGAAGAAGCTTAAATAAAGATGAAACATGTTAAATTTATAAACATTTCTTATCTGTTTTTTTATCATTCATATATATATATATATATATATATATAATTATTATTTAGTATTAGGAACTAAATCTGGTGAACTAAGTCTGGCACAAGGCCACTATAATAGTAAACCGAATAGGAATCTAATTCATGATATGAACAAATTGGTCTGCAAGAGTATTACATGGCTGTATACAGCCTTTAAAATTGTTACATGCTTTAATATCTTAATTCTTATTTCTAAAGAAGTAATGTTTTTTTTTTTTATTTAGTAATCCAACAGATTTTTATCACTTTAAATTTTATTTTTAGTGGATACCCATATTTGAGTAGATGCTTCATTTATTTGAAACGGTATTTTTTTTTCTATCAGCTTAAGTAATCGAGAAATCTCATTAATCTTACATTGTCTTACAGTATTATTGTGTAAGTCATTAATTCTTTTTTTATGGCAGTTTTTGTTTAATTAATTTAATCTTTATTAATGTGGTTTGGTTAATCTAACATTAATTAATTTTTACTGCTTTTCATTCTTTTTTTTTTTTTTTTTTTTCAGTTTATTTTTAATAGCTTTTATCAGTTAATCTAATTATCAATTAAAATCTATCTTAGCCTGAAAATTTCAAAATGTTTACCTCTCTTTACTTGCACTGCAGATAGTTGCTTTAATATACATCTCCCTCCCTCTCTCTCTATATATATATATTTTCTGTATATACGTTATTTTTACAGGTACAAATATTTAAGTAAATGCTCTGTTTATAATAAACAGTAGTAACTACATTTACTAGCCAAAATATCTGAGAAATTTCATAAAAAATATGTGTAATTTGACTTTGCTAAACAGACGCTTCTGCTGCAGCTAAATGGTATAGCATGTCAAGCTATATGATGGAACCGTGTAAGATACAGGTTCGATTCTTGTTGGAGGACACATATTTTCTATGAAATTTCTCAGATATTCAGGCCAATAAATATAGTTAATATTGTTTATTATAAACAGAGCATTTACTTAAATATTTGTATCTATAAAAATAACGTATAAACAGAAAATATATTAAGATAAGTGTCAGACTTAGTCCATTTCACTATATATATATATATATAGAGAGAGAGAGAGAGCTATTCTTAGTTGACGCATTTCATCCTCTGAGGGACTTTATCAAGGTAATCTTGTCTCTTTTTATTCATTTTGTCTTCTCTCTACAGATATACATTATCTGAAAATATTCATACACACACACACACACACATATATATATATATATATATATATATATATAATGTGTGAAGTGAAAATATGAATAAAATGCAAAAAAAATGATTAAATGAGGAACAAGAAAACCTTTAAATTTAACATGTTTTGCTATTATTCATCTTCATCACACACACGTTTTTATATATGTGAATAATTTGTCACATATAAACTATTATTATTTTTTGGAAATTTTATTAATGAAGTCTATTCCCAGGGGTTCATCCCTCCAGGCAGTACCTTTCTCTCAAGGGAGGGCTAAGGTTAATCCCTTGAACCTGAGGTGTCCCCAAAAGAAAAAATAAGAAGGTGACTGAACTATTTTCAACCTCTAGTCTCATGTACACTCTCACTTTAAATTTGGCCATATTCCATTGAAGTAAGCATATAGATAAATCCCCATATATGTTATTATTTCTTTTCATTTAATGTTGATGCCAATACATCATAAGTTACATTCATATCCATTCTATCTTAATATGTATTAATATCAATTTATTTTTGTTTTCATTTCCACCCTTTCTGTGTCTATCCTTTTATTGATTTTCAACTGTAAATTCATTATTCAGACCATTATCAATAAAGTTGGGTGTCATTTAGTGAAGTATTAGAAGTAAAATTCCTTGTTACTTTCCTAACACATTTTATGTTATACTCACCTTACTGCAAAATCAATAATGCTCCAATGTCTTCTTTTATTTCTCCCGCCCTTGTTTTTCTTAAGCTGATTTGATATTTACGTAACTTTTCATGCCTATTTTATTTCTTGTTCATTTGTTTTCAAATACTTGACTATCTTGAATCTCTTTGCCACCCCCAACATACTCCTCCTGCCAATTTCTACTATTTTCTAACATGAGCCATTAAA